CACACACAATCACAGCCACGCCAACCCCCACACACAATCACACTTAGCCAACCCCCACACACAATCACACTCAGCCAACCCCCACACACAATCACACTTAACCAACCCCCACACACATTCACACTCAGCCAATCCCCACACACAATCACACTCAGCCAACCACCACACACAATTCCATACAGCCAGCTCCACACATACATATCACACACAGCCACCACACACTTCCCACTCAGGTCTATTGCTCAGGATGGAGCGAGGGGGCCCATATTTAAATTTTGCTCCTGGGCCCAGCGGTTTCTTGTTATGCCCCTGGTATTGGGCAATCGAGAGGGTGCACTTTTAATTACTATTCACAGCTTTACAATGTAAATGAATCATTAGATTTGAATTCCACTGATGCATTGGAGCGTTAAAAGTTTATTTTTAGAATGGGTACATTACCACAGGCCACAAATGAACACTTAATGTTCGTTTTGCTCTGTTTGAAGTAAATACAATAAGGGAAGTTAAGCCTGAACATAATAGATTTCTATAAAAAAAATAGGAGAAAGAGTCATAACACCAAAATTTGATTTATAGGTGACATTTATATCACCGTCAAAGTGGATCTGGCAACATTTAGATCCTATGTGAGTTTTCAAAGATTTCTAAAATAATTTTTCTATGATATGGACATTACATATAAGCTCCCCGTTCTCTGGAGTTATTTAGTGAATAAGAAGAAACCTGCGGCCAGGATCTAGGTTACCCACCACCATACCCGCCAAACATCAGTTTGTGACACTTTCTAAAACGTACATTTTTTATAATAAAAATCACTTAAAAATCCTGTTACTAGTTTTGTATATAAGATTTCTTGAAAGAACACACTCTGTGAACTTAGTATAGATTTTTACAATTCTGTTTTTTTGTGCAAAGGTCAAAGTTTCAGTTCCTAAACTGGACTTTTATCTTGACATAAGTCGTGTTAGGGACTGAAACGCTGACCTTTGTATAGATTTTCACAATTTTCCTTTTTTCTCCAGTTTAAGACAGTACACAGTCTTCTGAGTGCGCTCTTTCAAGAAATATATATATATATATTTATATATATATATATAAAACATTTTATTACGGTATAATATAATCAAAAAGGACTGTAAAATACTGAGATATTTAATGTTTCTTTATAAATAATAATATAAATTACATAAGAAGCAAGAATAGAAAAGTTAGAAGGCAGGTAAGTAGCCTTGTCAGTCTTATTGTTGAGTGTTAGTCACTGTGGGTGGCTGAGAAGAAGTTCGCTATATTTATATAATGTAACAGACATGAATCCCGTGTTGCCATAAATAGATGTGAGCTCTATTCACTAAAGTCTGGACATTCCAAGTCCATAATATGAAAATATAATAATCTAGGTCTGTCTGGGGTATTCAGATTGCTAAATCAGGACATTGTTGATAAGCTTGATCATTGTGCAGATTTTGTAGAACTGTCAAGATTTCAGATTGTCCGGACGTAACTCAGCAGCTGGAATCCAGAAATGAACGATAGAAACCAGGGCTGGATTGTGAAAATAGAAAAACAAATATATTGCACAGAATTAAACAGTGAGACTGCACTGGCACGATCTGTACATCAAAATACGCCATTAAACTAAACTTCTTTTCGTGCTTAGGCTGTCCTATAAGGTTTCTATTTTTTTTCCATTTTCCTGTCTGTTGGTTATCTAAAAGAATTTGAACAACTCCATTTGCATAATTTCCAATCGTGATCTAGAACAGGGGGGAAAATACTCCTTGACTCCAAATCTAAATGCTGTGTTCTGTGGGTAAATGACAATATTATTCTCAGCCTACACTCAGTGGGCACTTTATTAGGTATAACACTATCACTGCTCTCTCACTCTAGAGCTGCCTCAGATCTTCAGTGATTTGTGAGTTTCTGGTCTACGTTGACATGATAGCACTGCTCTCTCACTCTAGAGCAGCCTCAGGTCTTCAGTGATTTATGAGTTTCTGGTCTACGTTGACATGATAGTGTTGCTCTCTCACTCTAGAACAGACTCCGATCTTTTGGGATTAATGAGTTTCTGGTCTACGTGCACATGATAGCATTGCTCTCTCACTCTAGAACAGACTCAGACCTTCAGGGATTCATGAGGTTTCTGGTTTACGTTGACATAATATCATTGCCCAGTTTCTGCCATTTTATCAGCTGCACTTTCAAATTATAAGATTCCCATCCCACCATATCTCACAGGTGATCTGTTGGACTGAGATATGGTGAATGTAGAATTTATCGGAGTATCCTAAACTCACCGTTATGTTCAGCTTGATATAATGTATACGTGTTTTGCTGATTGATTAATCTATTGGAAGATGGTTAGACTAAGCCCCAAAGGTAGCTATAAAAATGCTCGGCTGGCTGTGGCACCTCATTCTCAGTTGGTATAGAGGGGCCTAAAAATATGTAAGAAAGCTTAGAGTAACCCTTTAGTGTTCAGCAAGTTATGTATTCAGAAAATAATTTCTGATTTAACCCCTTAAGGACACATGACATATGTGACATGTCATGATTCCCTTTTATTCCAGAAGTTTGGTCCTTAAGGGGTTAAGTAAGGTCAGCATAACTACCGTTGCAATAATGACACTTTGAACCATTCTGTCATTCCACTATAACAGGAGTAGGCAACATTCGAAACTCCAGATGTTGCAGACCACATCTCCAATAATGCTTTAACAGACGTAATACTGGCAGGGGAAATGTATTTGACAACATCTGCAGTGCTGAACGTTGCCTACCCCCGTCCTATAAGCTCTCATTTACACAGTGTTTTTGCCCGTAGAACTTCTGCTTATTGGGAGATTTTGTGCACCATTCTCGGTAAACTGTACAGACTGTGGTGCGTAAAAATCCAAGTTTCAGCAGTTTCTGAGAAACTGAAACCACTCCGTCTGACACCAACACAGTCACTTCAATCCAATTTCTTCTCCTTTTTAATGTTTGCTTTGAACATTTGAAACTTTCGACTTGTGGCAAGCAGGAGTCGTCAAATCACGGCTAGCTGCCTAGACATTAGCGTTAACTAGATGGTGTACAGGTATAACAAATAAAACAGCAATAAGACAGAAATTTGATGTAACTAAATTACTATATAAATAAACTGTGTTTTGCTTTCTTTTGCAAACAAAGCAGAATGACATTTAGCTCAAATATTAGCACAGAAGGACTATAAACAGATCCTATGATGTACTGGAGGGAGGTTTATCTAGGAGAAACAGGTTTAATTCACATTCAGGTATGTTCTTTCAATAGTCATACCCACTACTTATAATAGAAAATAATGAGATTTATCAAGGTGCTAAATAAGCTGTAATCGCAATGGAGACCACAACACTGTATCTCAGCATATAGCTCTTTACAGCCAAAATAGAACCTATTTTGTCTTGTTAAAAACAACAACAAAAACATACAGACCACAGAACATGATTTGAGCCATCTACTACATAATATAGGAGTGTAGGGCCCCCTAGTGGGCCTGAAAAGTAATTAATGGGATCTTTTACTGGGACTGGAGTTTAGGCAGGAAAATGTTGCAGTATGATGGGAAGGGGCCTTCCGTTACCTTTTAAGAGGCTCCTCTGTTTCCTGTCACTCCTTTTGGTTCCTGCTGTCTCCTGAAGTTCTCCCTCCTTCCCTCCCCTTTGTTATGTGTGTACTTGTTATCCTGGGTGCGGCGCGGTGCTGAATTAGTTCCCCTTCTGGGCACATTAACATAGCGATGTGCCGGCGGTGGGGTCTGTTTAGTCAAACTTGCCTTTTGAGTCCCTGGCTGGTAAATTTAGTCTCTCCCCTCGGATACCTTCGGTTCTGACGGCCCAAATGTTTCTTCGCTTTCCTGGGTTGGAGCTTCCGATTCCCTCTACCACGAGAGGGTGCGGCTTTAGGGCCTAATACAGAGAGAGGGTGGGAGTGATGACAGCACGGAGGCTGGGCTTTTCCCCCTTTTGGGTAGTGGCCCGGCTGGGGCGCCTGCCTGCAGTCTGCGTCCAAGGTGGCCGTGACGAAGATTCTCCCTTGCTGTCCTTAAGCCTCTACTTTGGCGTATGCAACGGGTGACCCGCATCCTCTTGTGGGCTGAGTTTAGCCCTCAGCGCCGCAACCCTAGCTAAATTATTATTTATATTTTACGACCGTTCTTTTTGAATGTTTTTTCTGTCATGATGCCATGGTTATTTATGCGATAAATGCGGCCAGCAATGGCTTTACCTCCCAACATGGTGTCTGTGCTATTTATTACAAGGAGAATGTTGGGTTAGGGAGGGTGTTATAGGGTTAGTTATTTGGCTAAAACTAAAGAAAATAGGAGATTACCCATTATTCGTAGGATCAGTTGTTATCTCCAGAGCTCTGACAGATAGACTTTCTGATCAACCACCAGACATAAGCACAGAATTCGGGATGAGAGGTTAACATCATTTTCACAAACTCACCAATGTGTCAATTTTATTGAAATATATATAAACAACTAAATAACAACTAAACGATTAATGTTATTTTATAAGTAAATATTGCAAAACGTACAGCTCTGAGGGGTATTTATGAAAGAGCATCCCATCAATGGCGTGGGATTAGTGGTGGGAATAATCCCACTATACATAGCTCAGTTTTATTGCTGCAGAGTTCTGTGATATACTGATACACACTACTCACATTAGACTACTATACTCATACACACTGTATATCATACAGTCATCGTTAGGAATTCAAAGTGAGTTTCAAACTAAAATCATAACTTACTTTTATGAATTTTTACACTCCAGCTATTTTGACATTAAATTTGAAAATCACTTTTAATTCACCTAGATTTCTCACTTGTGTGAATAGCCCTGTGTGTGTTTTATTGCTGTGGATCTCTATGAGATACTCATAAATACTGCATATTTGTTTGCTGTGGAGCTCTGTGATACAATAATACACAATGCGTGCATATTACTGTGAGTTTTGTTCGCTGTGGAGCTCGGTAATACAATAATACACAATGCGTGCATATTACTGTGAGTTTTGTTCGCTGTGGAGCTCTGTGATACAATAATACACAATGCGTGCATATTACTGTGAGTTTTGTTCGCTGTGGAGCTCTGTGATACAATAATACACAATGCGTGCATATTACTGTGAGTTTTGTTTGCTGTGGAGCTCTGTGAGATTTTCAAAATGGAACACTGTACAGATCTTGCAGTCTGACTTATTTATTTATTTATTACTGGCATTTATAAAGCGCCAACATATTGCGTAGCACTGCCTTAGAGTTATCCTTGCAGTAAGCAATATATAATATACATAGATACACACACAGTCTGAATATATTTAGTTGCTTTGATTTGTGTAAATTATAGTGTGATGGGCTCTCCTCACATTGGTCTCACACGCAAGTCTATTTCACACGTTGTACTTTGTAGTTATATACTGTGTGGCCTTTAGAAATGGTGTATTTTGATGGTGTTTTATTACGGCTGAGCTGTTTCTTTTATAGCACTGCCCTCTACTGGATAAACTGAGTAATTCAGCATGTTACATTGAATTGAAGGGGCAGTATAAGCACTGAATTAAGTATATGTCATTATATCAGCTTTATAAAACTTTCATAAAGGAACCACACGCATAGTACATTGGGAGGGGGAGCACCTCCCACTCTGCGTAGGAGCGCCGGATGTCACGTGACTTCCCAGTGCTCAATCTGACACTGCACACCGCCAGGGAACGAGAGGCACCCTCCCTTGCTATGTCAGGTGAGAAACAGCAGGGAGGGGGCCATCTGTCTATAGCAGTGATGGCGAACCTATGGCATGCGTGCCACAGGTGGCACGCCGGGCCCTCTCTGTGGGCACGCGGCCATAGGTTCACCATCAATGCAGAGTTGGCACCTGCCTGCCAACTGCCTGCGCGTACTCTGCTTCCGTGTCGGGAGGCAGGGGGAGGGATATGTGAAGCAGCTCCCCTGTCCTCCCGCAAGCAATCAGTGTGGAGCATTGCTGCGTGTTACCATGGCAACGCTCCACACAGCATCGCGGTGAGGACAGGGGAGTTGCTTCACATATCCCTCCCCCTGCCTCCCGACATGGAAGCAGTACTTACCACCACCGGACCACCAGGGATGGCGGTGTCCCCCCCTCCTTCATTAAAGGTAAGAAGGAGGGAGGGGGAATACTGATTTAGCATATATATATATATATATATATATATATATATATTTTTTTTTTTTAAACACCTTTACCCCCCCATATCCCCTCCCCACACACACACAGTACCCCTGCCCCCCACACACAGTACCCCTACCCCCCCCACACCCAGCATCCCTCCCCTCCCCAGCATCCAGCATCCTTCCCCTACCCAGCACCCCCCCCACACACACACACAGCACCCTTACTACCCCCCACAACACAGCACCCCTACTACCCCCACACACAGCACCCCTACTACCCCCCACACACACAGCACCCCCACCACCCCCACACACACACAAAGCACCCCACACACAGCACCCCTACCCCCACACCCAAGACCCTACCCCCACAACACAGCACCCCCAGCCACAACACACCACACCCAGCACCTCTCCCCCACAACACACACACAGCACCCCTCCCCACAACACACACACAGCACACCCAATTCCACAGCACAAAAGTGCAAATCTTACCCCCCACACAGCACCCCCACCCCCACACACACAGCACCCCACACACACACACACACCCCTTCACACACACACACACACACAACACCCACACACACAACACCCTCACACACACCCCTCACACACACACACAAACACACACACAACACCCCCTCACACACAGCACCCCACCCCCACATACAGCACCCCCACACACACAGCACACCCCCACACACACACAGCACACACACACACAGCACCCCACACACACAACACACACACAGCACCCCCCACACACAAACACACACAGCACCCTACCCCCACAGCACAGCAACCTTACCCCCAAGACAGCACCCTACCCCACACAGTACCCACCCCCCACACAGCACCCCTACCCACACACACAGCACCCTCTCCCACACACACACAGCACCCCACAGACACACACACAGCACCCCCCCCCACACACACACAGCACCCCCGCACACACACAGCACCCCCCCCACACACACACAGCACCCCCTCCCACGTGTATTCAGCAGTCTGTGTGTGTGCGTGTATTCAGCAGTGTGTGTGTGCGTGTATTCAGCAGTCTGTGTGTGTGTGTACTCAGCGGTGTGTGTATTCAGTGGACTGTGTGTGTGTGTATTCAGTGGACTGTGTGTGTATGTATTCAGCAGTCTGTGTGTGTGTACTCAGCAGACTGTGTGTGTGTACTCAGCAGACTGTGTGTGTGTGTGTGTGTGTATTCATCAGTCTCTGTATTCAGCAGTCTTGTGTGTGTGTGTATTCAGAAGACTGTGTGTATGTATTCAGCAGTGTGTGTGTGTGTGTGTGTATGTATTGCATTTGTTGGAGATACTAATAAATCTAAACTTACTTTTATCTATTTATATCATTATTTAAAATTTGTATCATTGAACTCTCTGTTGTTGTGTTCTTTTGAAACAAAAGTTGTTAATTAGTTTGGACAACTGTACGAGTTGTTTTGTCTAAACTTAAACCTCAGTATTCAGGTTTAATTGCCGTGTTGGCACTTTGTTGGCATGTATTGCGGTTTGGGCATTAGGGCTCAAAAAGGTTCGCCATCACTGGTCTATAGAGTAGCGCCGGTGTTACCATGACCTCAGGTGCCGGCTTTATGAGAGAAGTAGCTGCCTACTAGAGCAGGAAGAGGGGAAGTAAGAATGGAAATGGAAGGGGTAGGAAGGGAGACATGTTAGGGGGAGGTAAGAATTTAGGGGGTGATAGGAATTGAAGGGTGGGGGAGAGAGAGATGGATGGGGTGAGAGAGACTTGGATGGAATGGGTAGGGGGAGACATGGGGGAGAGATAGCGAGAGATGTGGGGGTAGCTAGAAGGGAGGGAGAGATGTGGGGGTGAGAGATGTGGGGGAGAGATATTTTAGGGATCCACCTTTTGTGTGTTTAGTCTTTCCTGTGTGTTGGGTACGACTCCCGTGACAGCACATTACTCTGTATTTTATAGTTAGGGAGCTCTGATACACTAATAGGCACATTACTGGGAGTTGTATTGTTGTGGAGCTCTGTGACAAGCTCATACACTACATATTACTGTGAGTTTTATTGTTGTGGAGTTCTGTAATGAAATAGTACACACCATATAGTTCTGTGAGCGGTTTTTGTTGCGGTGGAGCTCAGTAATAAATTGCTAAACAGCGCGTTATTATGAATATTTATTCCAAAGAAGTCAAGGTCAATAAGGAAAATCCAGAGATCCAAAGTAAAACAACCTGCAGTATTATATGACATACTTGGTCTGCCACTCTGTAACGCTGACGAGGCAGTATAGCACCTCTGACCTCACTTCTGTTGGCTGCAGACCATAGGTAGCTGTCTTCCTAGTTTGGGCAAATTAGAGCTTTGCTGCGGATTACCATAGGAAAGATCTGACACTGCAATTGCCTGAGCTTGCGAGACAGTTACGAGTGGTCTGCACCCGGTGGAGAGGCAGACCAGATTCCCAGGACAGTGGAACACCAGAGATAAGCATGTCGACCTCCCAACAAGGTAACAACAGGGAAGGAGGAATACATATTTATATTTAAATCATTATTAATTGAATAAATCCCCTATAGAAACACTACACCCATATACACACTGTACATAGATGAAAGGAGATGACGGGGACTCTGACATTTTTTTTGGACAGGCTGCCTAAAGGCCTACGGCCGACCTTGAAACAAATAATGCAACGGAAAAACTCTGAGTGAGGGATAACAGATAAACATTCCGTGCGTAATAAAACTTTTTATAAAGGCCTTCCTACCAATCTATGTGGACTCCTCGCATGGGCTCACTTGCGTCAGGTTTTACATTTTTTTACTCTCAGTTTTTAGTTAATATAGTCTTTAAAAAAAAAAAAAGTATTGCCAGGTTATAGTGGATTTTTATGTGGCCATTTTCAGACTGAATATAAAAGTGTGAAGAAAGAAGATCCTCAAAGTGTAATTTTTTTTTAAAACTTACGGTAGTGGCATCACTATAAACACACTGCCATTATTAACAGCGCTCTGATGCTGTAATTACTACTCTGTTCTCCCTGCCAAGTGGGGCTGTCTGTGCGCCTTTAGAAAGTGCCCCTTTAGAGCCGAAATTCTCTGCAGTGAGTTTTTTAAGCAAGAAAATGTTTAATGACATGTTCATGATTTTTCACTATGATCCCCCAGAAGATGACACCAGGACTAACCCATGATGGAGAGACAGAAATCCCAAAAATGTGGCTGCGCCGCTGTATATTTAACTGCTGGGAGCAGCGACATTTTGCAGGAACATGCAGCCTCTAACCATGCTTGAAAAAAAAAAAAAAGAATAAAAAAAACCCAATTGTGAACTCAAAATATCTCATCAAGGTCTTAAACTGGACTAAGAGCAGCTCATCCAACTGACACATATGGGAAAACATAGTTGCAACACAGTGTCATTAACCATCTCACTGACAGGCCATAAGGACACTAAGGGCTATTCTATCAATCCTTCACTGATAGGAAGCACCTGGCCAAGGCAGAGCAGTGAAAGCTGCTTCATCTGTTTCCTCTTCATCTTCCTGTGTTCTGCAAACAGGAAACACAGATCTGGGCAGGTGGTGTAGAGAGATGTGTCCTGGCCCGGCTACCACGTGAAGCAACAGACAGGCAGGGGCTGCGGAGCTGAATGGTGGATTCAGTGACAGTGTGTGTACAACTAGTACAGGAAAAGCAGAGTGAGCTGCGGATCGGTGTGAAAGTTCTATACCAGGCCTCGCAGTGGCGGCAGTACATTTAAAGATCTGGAGGACAGGCTCTCTAGTAAAACAGTGTGTGATGAGTTAGTTTGCATGGGCTGTGCAAGTCTACCACAGTATCAATGCAGATCTGCACGGAGAGAAAAGTATATTAGAGGGGTTTCAGATACCAATATAGGACAGGTTTTAGATGTATATGGAAATCGGAGCATCCGCAGAAGTATTTTTAAGAAAGATAAAATATTTATGAGAAACTCATTTTGACTGTGATGGAATGTCACTGAAATTCTAACACAAAGTGAAGATATAAGACACAGTTGGGAGTAGCTTGGTATCCAGGACAAGCCGAATAGTGGCAAATTCTGGCAATACGTATCCCCAAACGATCCCTAATGTCCGCACACTCAGACCTCATTAGTACATTCAACTGCACATCAATCTTCTTAGAAAAGGTACATGTATTTGCAAAAAATATAAAACATGGAAATACAATCAAAAATTGCCTAGAACTATCCTCATATGCACCAGTCCAAAATCATGTAGTCAGGGCCGGTGCAAGGATTTATGCCACCTAGGCAAAAAAAGAAAATTGCCGCCCCATTCACTCCACAGTGGTACTGTAGGTTTAACCTGACAAGATAAAACATTGCCTTACCTTGAAGGGTTAAACATGCCTCTAGTAGCTGTCACGCTGACAGCCACTAGAGGCACCTCTGCTGTTGGAAGTGCATAGAGCTTGCCACTTATGCGCATCTGGTCCCCAGTGCTCCTGCATGAGGAACATTGTATTGGACCAGTGTTGTCCGATCAGTGACATTAAGCAAGGTTAGGAGGCAAGCATTGCAGAAGGAGTTTTAGTGCTTGAAAAATAAAAGTAAATCCCCACTCCCTTTTTCTTTTTAAAATTATTTTATGGTTGGGGGGGAGGTAGACATTCAATCTAAGTAGGGACAGATACACTATAGTATTTGGAATACAGGTTTATACTCCCAACACTATAGTGTTCTTTTAAAACTATTATTTTTTTTTTTAATAAAATGGTCCTTTCTGCCAAAATGCAATCACTGATACATACATACACACCCTCACGAACAGATTCATTCACACTCAATGGTCCACACAATCACAATTAGTGAGCAATGCACACACACACATTCACTGACTCATGCAGAGTGACACACACTGACTCAAGCAGACATAAAATTACTTGTGTTGATTGACACACACACTGTCCCTAGCATACACACACACACACACACAAACACAAACACACTGACCCATGCAGACACACACAGTCCCTAGCAGATACGCACACACTGACCCATGCAGAGACACACACACTGTCCCTAGCAGACACACACCACCTTAAGCAGGCAGAAAAAGATTCTTTAAAACACACACTATGAAGTGCCACTCTTACCTTAATTTCATATTGGCTCTCCATGTGTCCCAGGCTTCCTCATTGCGCCTTGCTATTAGCTCTGCCTCCGCTATTCTCCCGCCCACTTGACCCCGAGTACAGGGCAAGGGGCAGGAGCGATCGAGCAATGCGCCTTTGCGCTGCCCCGGCTTTTGCAATGGGTGGAGGTAAGCTCTCTGGAGGTTGATGCCATGGGCACTAGTTTGCATCTATGTAAGTGCTCACTAGCCATTGCTCCTTTATTTACCAGGACCCTAGTTTTTTTTATATATTTATAAAATATTTTACCATGATGGATACATTGTGATTTCTCAATTGGTCCACAGAATATTGCATTGTTACAATAGGATACAATTTACAAAACAATAGATATATACACACATATATAAATGTATTACATAACCGGTAATAAATATATTCAACCATGATAGGTGCATTCTGTGCTGAGGTATACTGCCATAGATCTCTTAAAAGATTTTAGATTGAATGAAGATTTGACTGTGTCCCTGAGGTTATTCCATAATTGCGGTGCTCTGTAGGAAAATGAGGGACGAGCCACTTTATTTTTGTATTGCGGTATGCTAAATATCGTGCTAGTACTGGATCGGAGGTTATAAGGGGTGGAAGCAACCGGGGAGAGCATTCTACTCAGGTAGGGTGGGAGCTTCCCAGAAATGCTCTTATGCACAAGGCTGGCAAGATGAAGAGTGCGTCGGGATTCCAGCGACAGCCAGTTTAGCTCTTTTAGCGTGTCACAGTGGTGGGTAAAGTTCTAGTACAAAGCGTCAGAACGAATTATATAATGTATTAATGTATTAAGTTTATTAAGGTGGGTTTGCGGTGCAGGTGCATACACTACATCCCTGTAATCAATGACCGGCATTAGCATTTGTTGTAGGGCTGTTTCCTTACTGTAGGGCTTAGGCAGGAAAGAAAGTTTTGAAGAGATTTTTTCATTGTGAAGGCCAAAGGATAGATTGGGGTCTAGCAACATCCCTAGATATTTAAAAGAGCAGACTGCTGTCAGTGTGCTATTTGAATTTGTTGATTTTGTAGTTTATGTAATTTAGGTACAGTTCCAAAGATCATTGTAACAGTTTTGTCAGTGTTTAGGAAGATTTTGTTATCCGCTATCCACTTATCTACCTCTGTGAATTGGTTTTGGAGCACAGCCTCAAGCTGCGGTAGCTTGGGTTTACTAGCATAGATTACAGTGTCGTCTGCATACATGTGTACAGTTGAGGATTTGCAGACGTTAGGCATTTATAAATAATGTGAATAGCAGGGGGTCGAGTATGGAGCCTTGGGGAACACCACACGTGACTGGAAGAGGGAGGGAAGTGCTATCAGAAATGGCCACATATTGCAATCGGTCTGAAACATACGATTAAAACCAGGATAGCGGACGATAAACAATGCCTGAGTTTAAGTTTTTGCAAAGAATGCCATGGTCTACTGTGTCAAAGACCTTGGCAAAAATCAAGGAAAATAGCTCCAGTTAAGCCTCCTCCTTGTTCCATGCCAATTTGGATGTCATTGCAAACTTTTAAGAGGGCAGTCGAAGTTAAGTGATTTGGACGAAAGCCTGATTTAACAGGGATCAGATAATTTGATCGTTGATAATATTCACATAGTTGGAGGTTTATTAGAAGGTGGCGGTTCCCTCTAAGCCAAGCATATCAAACTTAAAGTGTGGCACGGGCCACATAAACAAGGTTTAAGTTTATGTGGGCCGCACACACAGACACACACTCACTGACAGACACACACACAGACACACACACAGACACTCAATGACAGACAGACACACATACAGTCACACTGCCACACACACACTCGCTGACAGACACACACACACAGACTCACTAACAGACAGACACACATACAGCCACACTTCCACACACACATACATACTCACTGACAGACACACACACTGAGACACACACATACTCACTGATAGACACACACACACACTCACTGACTGACAGACACACACACACACACATACTTTTCATTATCACTCCTTACCTTAAGGAGCCAATGGGGGGGCATCTCACTGGGGTCCTTCCTGCTCCTTCCTGCTCCTCACTGCTCCCGCGTGCGGTTTAGTGATGCTGGGTGTCGGAATATGACATCATATTCTGGCGCCCGGCTTCACTTCAGTCGGCACGCGCGAGGGAGCAGTGAGGAGTTGGAACACTGAGCTCCCTTGCGGCCAACCATTGTGGGGAAAGCAGGTGCCTACTCTGCTATAACACTGAGAATGCACTCGCGGCTTTCTGGGCCGCAAAGATGGTCCTTGTGGGCCACATGCGGCCCATGGGCCGCGAGTTTAACATGCTTTCTCTAAGCGCAACCAGTTATGTTTCCTATAGGGTTCTCTTCCAAAACTGTGAAAGGCCCACAAGTGTCATGTTCTCAATGAGGTCAGATAAAAGACGATTGCCAGGTTTAACAGAAGTGACTTTATTCGTAGCCTTTGACATAACAGAATTTTTAGTAGAATAAATAATAAGCAAAAAGGGGATATATAATTATTAAGGCAATATGCCCTATAAAGTAAACAATGAAGAGTGCAAATAAATTTTCAGCAATGCCCAGATAGTGGGTTTTGTAGGTTGTATTTATCAAGGTAGTTAGGATAATCCAAGTAGTTATGGTGCAGGATTGTATGAATCAGGTAAGCAGGTTCAATCAATAGTAAATCAAGTAGTAATTGTGCAGGTTTGAAGCAATTCGTGCAGGTATGCAATACAGGTAAGTATAGGAGAGTTCATAATAATCCAATGTAGGAAGGAGTAATGTTTGTAGCAATACTAGTAGTATGCCAGGTAGGTAAGTACCTTTAGGTAGGATGCAATGCAGGTAAGTACAGGATAGTTGATAATGATCCAATTTAGGAAGGTAAGAGGATTGTAGTTATTCAAGCGGGATGCATGCAGGTTAGTACAGGATCTCTCACAGGAACCAGGATCTGAAGTTTTTGGTCTGAACACTAACTTCAATGTAATGGCACCTTGCTTTGTTGGGTGTGGCCATTTATAGGAGAACTTATTAACATAGGATACAGGTGAGTAACTAGTGACTAGTGGTTAGGGAGGCCACTAGATGTGAAAACCAGAACTGCATTTGAAGGAACGGTAACAAAAAGAAAAAAGTCTTACTTGTTTCCATAAGAATGTGACAACAAAAAACATTTGGAAGGGTAAAACTCCCTATCTCACTAAGAGAAAAACAACTAATTGCAATGTGTGTACTTTGACTGTACTTGTAATATTGTTTATATATAACACTATGTGTGTATACTGTTTATGAGTGTGTGTACCAATTTGTATGCGGCAATGTGTCAATGTGTGTACTGTGTGTTTGTGTAAGTCTGTGTATACTGTATCTGATTGTATGTGTAGCATTGTTGTGTGTATACTATGTGTAGCAATGTGTGTTT